CGAGTCCATTTACTGATTGAATAATGCAATCGTTCGGTGACTTTAATTTTCTCATCTTTGTAAATTGTTTTCAGAGCGAGAAACATCAAACAATTATCACATCAGTATGGCTTTGATTCGTAAGTATATTCATAAAAGCCAAAAGGTTTGCCAGATTTCAACGGTTGGGGAGAAAGCGCAAGATGGATAAAATGGGGGAAGGGTGGATTTATTCCGAAAACTTGTGTTGTCCAATGTGCCATTAGGGATTAAGATATATGTAAATCTTTTGAAATCTCATTCTAATGAACCGGACGAAAGTGTTCGTTCGGAGCATTCTTTAAGTAACTTAGGACATCTATACATCATAAGGAAGCTTCTCTACAAGCACATCTGCGACCAATCCAAAAAGATCTAACACGCATTGAAATACATGATAGACTGTACTACACAAAATCTTGTCAAAATAAGTTTCCTAAAAGTGGTATTCTTGTTTAAACTGGACAGTTATTTTATTTTACGTTCAATTGTCTCATAAAATATGCTTACTCGTATTTATTCATATTCACAAAACTAATGATTCTTTTTAGACGTGGGAGGACTATTTCCTAAAGTGGAATGATTCTGACTATGGGGGTGTGAAAACAATTCATCTCAAGCCAGCAGATGTTTGGATCCCAGATATCACCTTATACACAGAGTAAGTTAATCGCATATGTCACCTTATACAAAGAGTAAGTTCATCGCATATGTCACCTTATGCACAAAGTAACTTAATCGCATATGTCACCTTATACACAGCGTAAGTTAATCGCATATGTCACCTTATACACAGCGTAAGTTAATCGTATGTGTCACCTTATACACAAAGTAAGTTAATATCATATGTCACCTTATATATAGAGTATGTTAATCGCATATGTCACCTTATACACAGAGTAAGTTGATCGCATATGTCACCTTATACACAGAGTAAGTTGATCGCACATGTCACATTTTACACAGAGCAACTCAATCCCATATGTCACCTCATACACAGAGTAAGTTAATCGCATATGTCACCTTATACACAGAGTAACTTAATCCCATATGTCACCTCATACACAGAGTAAGTTAATTCACGCAATGGATACTTTTAGGATCCATGTTAGACGGAGGAAAATTTACGCCCGGATTGAACCCCACAGTGCCTGAATGTTCCATGCTGTAAACTTAAGTGATAGTAGAGGGGTATATGGACACAGTGTTGCTAATGATATCATCCGGATAACATCTGTTGAAACCCATACAATGTGGTTTTCGCCCCATTAATCTACCATCTTACGTGGCTACATTGTATCAAATGCTGGTGGAGCCTGATCAACTCTGCTTGGGGTAACTCCTCGCCATACCTGCTTCATTTTAATCCCCGAAAGCAGGAGGAGTGAGACTGCTGATGAAGCATCAGTAGCCAGCGCTGTTAGAGCATCTAAGATGTTTTAAATAACCAATCGCATATGCCACTTTATACACAGAGTAATTCCATCGCATTTGTCACCTTATTTACAAAGTTAATCTCATATATCACTTTATACACAGAGTAAGTTAATCGCATATGGCACCTTATACACAGAGTAAGTTAATCGCATATGGCACCTTATACACAGAGTAAGTTAATCGCATATGGCACCTTATACACAGAGTAAGTTAATCGCATATGGCACCTTATACACAGAGTAAGTTAATCGCATATGGCACCTTATACACAGAGTAAGTTAATCGCATATGGCACCTTATACACAGAGTAAGTTAATCGCATATGGCACCTTATACACAGAGTAAGTTAATAGCATATGTCACCTTATACACAGAGTAAGTTAATCGCATATGGCACCTTATACACAGAGTAAGTTAATCGCATATGGCACCTTATACACAGAGTAAGTTAATCGCATATGGCACCTTATACACAGAGTAAGTTAATCGCATATGGCACCTTATACACAGAGTAAGTTAATCGCATATGGCACCTTATACACAGAGTAAGTTAATAGCATATGTCACCTTATACACAGAGTAAGTTAATAGCATATGTCACCTTATACACAGAGTAAGTTAATCGCATATGGCACCTTATACACAGAGTAAGTTAATCGCATATGGCACATTATACACAGAGTGAGTTAATAGCATATGGCACCTTATACACAGAGTAAGTTAATAGCATATGTCACCTTGTACACAGAGTAAGTTAATAGCATATGTCACCTTGTACACAGAGTAAGTTAATAGCATATGTCACCTTGTACACAGAGTAAGTTAATCGCATATGGCACCTTATACACAGAGTAAGTTAATCGCATATGGCACCTTATACACAGAGTAAGTTAATCGCATATGGCACCTTATACACAGAGTAAGTTAATCGCATATGTCACCTTATACACAGAGTAAGTTAATAGCATATGTCACCTTATACATAGAGTAAGTTAATAGCATATGTCACCTTATACACAGAGTAAGTTAATCGCATATGGCACCTTATACACAGAGTAAGTTAATCGCATATGGCACCTTATACACAGAGTAAGTTAATAGCATATGGCACCTTATACACAGAGTAAGTTAATAGCATATGTCACCTTGTACACAGAGTAAGTTAATAGCATATGTCACCTTATACACAGAGTAAGTTAATAGCATATGTCACCTTATACACAGAGTAAGTTAATCGCATATGGCACCTTATACACAGAGTAAGTTAATCGCATATGGCACCTTATACACAGAGTAAGTTAATAGCATATGGCACCTTATACACAGAGTAAGTTAATAGCATATGTCACCTTGTACACAGAGTAAGTTAATAGCATATGTCACCTTATACACAGAGTAAGTTAAAAGTATACAAACCCTATATTGGAGTGAGGCCTACTTAAAAGCATTGACTAAGTTAAAAAATTCCAAGCTAATATAATTGAGTTAATTTTTTACTTTTTACAAGAATATTTCACTGTAAAAGGTTCGCCTGTCTTATGCCTTATGACGCCTACTATGGAATTCAATTTTTGAAATTGTATTGAATTTCTAATTCAAGAAGAATTCCATCCATAACTAAACGGTTGTCAAGATAACACGAAACACAAAAAATGAAACGTACACATTGGCTTTTACTAGTATAATCTGCTTTCTATAGCGTTACAGGTCAGTACTATGAGACTAAGGAATTCCGAGTAAAAGTGACGAGTGACGGAACAGTTCAGTGGAAAATTCCGACGAAGTTTGTCAGTTCATGCAAGATGAAGGTCCACAACTTCCCCTACGACGTCCAGACATGTACACTTAAGTTTGGATCGTGGAGTTTTGGAAGTACAGAAATAGATCTACAGAATAAGTCAGACTCTGCTGATCTGTCTGCATATGAACCAAGTGGAGAATGGGAATTACTGTCCACTGACGCTATACGGCATTCTATAATGTACAACTGTTGTACGGAACCTTACATTGACGTTACATACTACATCAATATTAAACGGAAACCTCTCTGTTACACCTTCAACGTGATCTTGCCCTGTATGTTCATAGTGATCATCTCGCCGTTTTCGTTTCTAGTGCCCCCGGGATGTGGCGAGAGGATACAATTAAGCACAACGTTGTTTTTATCTCTCACAGTTTATATGCTGTTTGTTGCCGAACAACTTCCAGTTCAGTCTGAGGATGTACCTTCAGTAGGTGAGCAAAATATTAGAATGTACAAGTAGTTTCATAGGGAGTTAAATGTTAAAATGTACAAGTAGTTTCATAGAGAGTTAAATGTTAGAATGTACAAGTAGTTTCATAGGGAGTCAAATGTTAGAATGTACAAGTAACTGGAGTTAAATGTTAGAATGTACAAGTAGTTTCATAGGGAGTTAAATGTTAGAATGTACAAGTAGTTTCATAGGGAGTTAAATGTTAGAATGTACAAGTAGTTTCATTGGGAGTTAAATGTTAGAATGTACAAGTAGTTTCATAGGGAGTTAAATGTTAAAATGTACAAGTAGTTTCATAGGGAGTTAAATATTAGAATGTACAAGTCGTTTTATAGGATGTTGAATCTTAGAATGTACAAGTAGTTTCATAGGGAGTTAAATGTTAGAATGTACAAGTAGTTTCATAGGGAGTTCAATATTAGAATGTACAAGTAGTTTCATAGGGAGTTAAATGTTAAAATGTACAAGTAGTTTCATTGGGAGTTAAATGTTAGAATGTACAAGTAGTTTCATAGGGAGTTAAATGTTAGAATGTACAAGTAGTTTCATAGGGAGTCAAATGTTAGAATGTACAAGTAGTTTCATAGGGAGTTAAATATTAGAATGTACAAGTAGTTTCATAGGAAGTTAAATATTAAAATGTACAAGTCGTTTTATAGGATGTTAAATCTTAGAATGTACAAGTAGTTTCATAGGGAGTTAAATGTTAGAATGTACAAGTAGTTTCATAGGGAGTTGAATGTTAGAATGTACAAGTAGTTTCATAGGAAGTTAAATGTTAGAATGTACAAGTAGTTTCATAGGGAGTTAAATGTTAGAATGTACAAGTAGTTTCATAGGGAGTTCAATATTAGAATGTACAAGTAGTTTCATAGGGAGTTAAATGTTAAAATGTACAAGTAGTTTCATAGGGAGTTAAATGTTAGAATGTACAAGTAGTTTCATAGGGAGTTCAATATTAGAATGTACAAGTAGTTTCATAGGGAGTTAAATGTTAAAATGTACAAGTAGTTTCATTGGGAGTTAAATGTTAGAATGTACAAGTAGTTTCATAGGGAGTTAAATGTTAGAATGTACAAGTAGTTTCATAGGGAGTTAAATGTTAGAATGTACAAGTAGTTTCATAGGGAGTTCAATATTAGAATGTACAAGTAGTTTCATAGGGAGTTAAATGTTAAAATGTACAAGTAGTTTCATTGGGAGTTAAATGTTAGAATGTACAAGTAGTTTCATAGGGAGTTAAATGTTAGAATGTACAAGTAGTTTCATAGGGAGTCAAATGTTAGAATGTACAAGTAGTTTCATAGGGAGTTAAATATTAGAATGTACAAGTAGTTTCATAGGAAGTTAAATATTAAAATGTACAAGTCGTTTTATAGGATGTTAAATCTTAGAATGTACAAGTAGTTTCATAGGGAGTTAAATGTTAGAATGTACAAGTAGTTTCATAGGGTGTCAAATGTTAGAATGTACAAGTAGTTTCATAGGGTGTTAAATGTTAGAATGTACAAGTAGTTTCATAGGGAGTTCAATATTAGAATGTACAAGTAGTTTCATAGTGAGTCAAATGTTAGAATGTACAAGTAGCTTCATAGGGACTTAAATATTAGAATGTACAAGTAGTTTCATAGTGAGTCAAATGTTAGAATGTACAAGTAGCTTCATAGGGAGTTAAATATTAGAATGTTCAAGTAGTTTCATAGGGAGTTGAATGTTAGAATGTACAAGTAGTTTCATAGTGAGTCAAATGTTAGAATGTACAAGTAGTTTCATATGGAGTTAAATATTAGAATGTAGAAGTAGTTTTATAGGGAGTTAAATATTAGAATGTACAAGTAGTTTCATAGTGAGTCAAATGTTAGAATGTACAAGTAGTTTCATAGGGAGTTCAATATTAGAATGTACAAGTAGTTTCATAGGGAGTTAAATGCTAGAATGTACAAGTAGTTTCATAGGGAGTTAAATGTTAGAATGTACAAGTAGTTTCATAGGGAGTCAAATGTTAGAATGTGCAAGTAGTTTCATAGGGAGTTAAATATTAGAATGTACAAGTAGTTTCATAGTGTGTTTAATGTTAGAATGTACAAGTAACTGGAGTTAAATCTTAAAATATACAAGTAGCTAAGCTACATACTTCTTAGAACGTAAAAGTAGTGTAAAAATTGCATACCGGTGTTAACGTAGTTTAAAGTTCAATTCTTAATGGTAAGAAAGCCCCTGGATGAGTTTTCTTCATCCTAGGCAAGCCCGAAAAAGAGTTATATCATGACAAATGTAGAAGTGGTTAAAGTATATGATGATTTAGTCTTAACGAAATTTGTGTTCATTCTTAACACACTTCTACCTACTTGCTTGATCGAAATTTTGTATGGTCCTACATACCTTTATTGTAATATATGTGCCTTACATGTACGAGGGTTGTCCCAGAAGTAATGCACTATAAGTTCTATTTTTATCTATAATGTATATTTTTCCATGAAAGTTTCAGTAAATGTTCTTAAGAGACATTTTGATTATCCTACAATTTTTCATGTTGATTGATAAAACTATATTGATGTTATAATAAAATCAAGTTGATGAGTTTGGGTAGGGTGGAGCAGGTTATACAGTCACGTCAAAAGGTATAAAAAGTTGAAAATATGAAATAATTAATCAACGAATACCATTTTGTGTACCTATAAGAAGTATGCTCAAAAATACATTTTAAGATACTAAATTACAATGAGCACATTCTAGATTTAATGGATATATATTTCACAGTGTCCCATTTCACATTTTCTCAAATATTGCCCTTTGCATGTTATGTACTTTTGATGCCTGTCAGGTTAGACACTCTTAGCAATTTCTTCCACTGTGACTTGAAGAGTTTTTGCCTCCCATGTTTGGAGTTGTCATTCAGGGTCCAGTCATCACTTTTGAATCTCTTCTGCCACCTCTTAATTGTAGTTCTATCTGGTGTATACTTTCTTCATGGTAGCATAAGTTTGTATGGCTGTGAGTCCAAGTGAAGTATGAAATTAGGCCACCAAACGCAACGCCTTTTGTTATCAGGTGAGAATTGCAGCCATTTTTGCAAAATCTTGACTGTGACTGAATTCGAATTTGTGACTATTGAACTGTGATGTTATGATATCACATCGCTAAATGTAATTATTTGTATTTGGTGAACATCATGCTGAATAAATTTAATAATTTCCTAAACATTTTGGTCATTTAAAAGAAAGAAATATTAATTAAATAACACTTTGGATCTTTTCATAATTAGAAACATTGGAGCCTGCCCAGCCCACCCCTATCCCCATGTTGCTATAGCAACCATATTAAGACCTAATATTAATGTTTGATGCTGAAACTTCGGGATTTGGCAGATAAAACTTCATTTGTAATATACACAAAATTTCAGCTGAATTGAAGAATATTAAATAAAATTAGAGCATATAGTGCATTACTTCTGGGACAACCCTCGTACATCCTTGTCTTGTCTTGTTTCATTTCTAGGTCAGTTCTTCACGACTGCATTATTCGCCCTTGCCCTGCTAAACGTGACGTCTATTATATCAGTTCACCTTTTCCATAGAGGTTCAAAACGTGACAAACTTCCACGAATAGCAAAATTGTTTGCCATGAAAGTGGTAAAACTTGTTTGTATGGCAAACAGATTTGACGAAGTTGTCGACTTGTGTTGCTGTTGTAACAGCAATGAAAAAGAAAACACATTGGAACTAAAGAGATGCGATAAGGTAGGCAAAATCTTTGTATTGAACCAGGTGAATTACCAGTACGTAACGTTTGACTGCTTTATAGTTAATGAAAACTCAGAATGAAATTCTGCGATTGGGGTTTCTGTGAAAAAGTCCAGCCTAAAGTATTTTAATTTTTCCGTTGCGAACTATTATTTCATTGGTGTTACAATGACATAATGTTTGATATCAAATATATTTTATTTAAAATAAAATACTTATTATTACCACCTTGCAGAGCCTGTTCTAGGGGTTTTAGTACTAGTTGAGAAGGCATTTAAATTGCTATATTGACGTGAGCAATATTGTGTCGGGCGTTAATGACTCTAGTCGGGCAATAATGACATTATCCGCCCGGCTATGTTTCCCGGGAAAAGTGATATCGTTCAGTGCGTAAGATTTTCTATTTCAAATTTGCTATTTCAGCCCTGGTTATTAACGGTGGTAATAATAGTAATAACGTCATTTCTGCGTGCAAAATAGTGAAATATTGGACCTTGGGCCTGCGCCCCTTGGTCCAATATTTCACTATATTGCCCTTTGAAATGAC